TCCAGAACACTGAAGTGCAGTGTGCTACCAATAAAATTTATACATAAAATTTTGTTTTAAAAAATAAAAATCACTTACCCTTTACATACATACAATACAAAGAGATTTACTGAAATACTGATATATAAAATAATAGTAAGCACTCTAAGATTCTCTTATTGCAACGAAAGCTGAATTTGTGGTAAAAAGTAGGTTCAATTTTCTGCAGAGGTATAACATACTTTACTTGTATTGAATAATCAGGCTAGACAGATACCTAATGCCCAAGTCTACAGCAATCCTTTGATAAGGTGTGAAGAAACCTCGGCTATGGAGGCACAGTTCAGCCACCTTCTGACTGAGGTCAACTGAAAGCCAGCTTCACACATGAGATCAATAAGAAAATGAATAACATTTCTAGCCTGATATTATCTGTGCAGTGGTGATTGTAAGACACTGTCGATTCTTCCAAAATAACAATATCATTTACAATGCTTTAATTTCCTTCTTACTCTCAATATCTCCAATTCAAATAAACAGACCTCTATCATGTAAAATGGGGTTAGTTGTTTTTTGGGGCAGACTATAGCAATATATTTTCCTGTGACATTACATAGTATTCCAGTTAACGTTTCTCAACTCCTGCATGAAGTCCAGTTTTGCAAATATATGTGCCAGTGAAATAACAAAGGCTGAACTTTAGGTTCATATACAACTCTACACAAATTCACAACAGAATTAAGAATAAAATATTGCTAAGTATTAAACAACCAGAAAACCCCCATTGTGCCTCTGTAACGTCTGGCCAAAATCCTTCTGCATTTGGCGCTTTTCAACAGTAATCAGGAAATTCATTACCAATGCTCACAAGTTTTTATAATAATTTGCTAGATGTCTGTTGGTTATTAGGGTTTCCATCCCCAGAAGCTTAAGGGCAGCAGAACTCAAAACTGAGGAAGGACAAAGCAAACTTGAATTTCTTCATAGATTACACAGGAACTAAACCAAACTCTTTAGGGCCCTTGAGAACAAATTCAAAACTCACATGAACTTTAAATCCAAACCACTGTAAGCTCTCTAAAGCAAAGCTGAAAATCTAAAAGCTATTTCCTAAAAGAAAAATATACTCACAGCACCCAACACCAAAAAGCATCTTCACATTAAAGCGAGCCTTAAACCATCTTTGTCATACATGCAACTGAAGAATTACCTTTTTTAAAAAGGGAGAATCCAAGACAACAGGTAAAGATAAAAAGGATAAATGATGTTCTACACTGCCAAAGTTTGTGGCAGAACCAGCATTAAAAGGTGGGTTTTCTAAACTTCTGTTCCTTGAAAATAAATGCTTGATTATCTCACAGGCTTTTCAAGTTTCTTAGCCAAAAAAGAACACGAATAAATATACACCACTTTCCAACTCAGCTATAGGGTAAAGGCATTACATTGTTTTACCCTTGCAAAGTTTCACTGCCTAAATGTTTTCTTTCATCTCAGGAGAGACCTTCTTTCCAGTGTCATGTTCTTCACATTCGTTCTTTAGCCATGGCATTGCTCTCCATCCATCCTCTTTTTGGTGACTACCATTTAGTATAGGTTACTGCAGAAACATCTATAATCAATCTAAAGTTGTGTCACAGGAACATGGTCCTTACATGTGGGTTTCAGTCTTCCAAATGAAAAGACTATGCCAACAACTACTTGTACCACAGGGGAAAAATCTCAAATTGTTTATTAAGAGGCATGTTATAACAGCACCTTTTTGTTGCCTTCTGGTAAGTGCTCAAAGACAGTTTTGAAAGAAATGATGTGTTCCCATGAGAAAGGGCTATACAGTAAATACATAACTCTCTCTTACGATGCCTGTGAAAATTCTGAGGAAAAGAATGCATTATATGCCTTCGCCATTGGTTTCCAAAAGACTTCTGATGAAAAGAAAGTCTGAGTTTAGCTAATGGTTAAAACAATCAAATACTAGCACTAATATTTTGTAAAGGTCTTATAAAAAAAAACAACCAACCACACACCAAAACCAACAGCGAAAACAACAACAAAACCCCAAATATTTCAGATAGAAAAGATCATCTGAACCTTCCATAATACTCTTACCCCCCCCCCCCCCCCCCAATCTATCATGAAATCACTAAACACTGCAGGACTATTAAATATTTTGGACTTATGGTTCTAGGTCTCAAGGAGGCTGCAAGGTGGAGCTGTCATGAGGGGGGATTTCCTTTCTCCCTCTGACATGGTCCCTGTGGGAACCACAAGTTCATCTCACAGGGAGTTAAGGAAGAGCAGTTCATCTGCAAAATACAAGGTGGTACTGGCATCCTCTTCATCCTTCCCACCTGTGCATGGTACAGGACTTGTGCATCCCATGCCTAAGGCTGCGATACAGACACTCTCCCTGGCTCCAACTGTTGAGTAACTCCTTGCTCCTCCTCCTCTCCAGAGAAGTGCTGAAGAGGGCAAGTGCAGGACCAGGACAAGAGCATAGCTTTGTGCAGGGCAGGGAAGCAGAAACATTGTCAAGGTGGGATGAGCAGCACACTGAATTGTGTAGAGCCACTGCCTCATAACTTTGGTATTATTCAGTGTCACATAAAGTTGGAATTGGTTTGCAGCCTGTCTTGGTAGTCTTACCTTCTGCTACGTAACCGTAAGCTTCTTGCATTTTAGTTCAGTTAGTAACGAATGGTAGAAACAAGCCAAAATAACTGTGTGTTGATACTTACAGCATAGGAAGACAGTCTGCTAAAAAGAACACGTTAAATGTTCCTAGAAACCAGAGGTTTAGTGCATTTTTGTACTTACTACAATAGCAACGAAATGCTTAATTCTAAATATATAGTATCACAATCCAAACAAATATTTGAAAGTAATTTTTCCATTCCTGCCATCCCAAAATCTCCTGATGCTTTCACAACCACAGATAAACAATGATAGTTAATTTTCAAACAGGCCAATACCTCCAAAACCTGAATCTCAGCTAAAACCCAGTGGAAAATTTTTGCAATACACATTTCTAAAAATGGCCCAATATATCAGCATACTACAGAGCACAGATTTTTACTAAGGGTGTGAGTTTTTCTCAATGGGATATTGGAAACAGCATTTCAGCATCATTTTAGTCACAGTCTCCTAAACGTGATAATAAAAGAACTGGAACATTAATGCAAGAAAAGCCATCAACTCCTCCTCTTCTCAGGTTTTCTGGCACTTGAAGCATATTGTTACCTTACTTGATCCAAAACCAATACAAATGTGACCTGGAGACACAGACTGGCAGAACAGCCAGCTGGCTGGCAGAACAGCCAGTTGGATCAGGGCAGATGTGGCTTCATATTTCAGGACTTACAGCCCTGCCTCTTACAGAAACCTTCTTTTGACCACAAGATGCTGCTCTACTTTTCTTTTTCTTTTAAAACTTGGATTGAAGGATAATAAGGTTTAAGATTACAGTTTAAAATCATCTGGAGGTGGATGAGCACATACATGGAGCACCCAAAAGAAAGGAGAGCACATCACAGTACCTAAGTAAGGACAGGCTACCCAGGGCCATTTAGGATATAAGCAGAATTGCAAGAGCAACTCCAGTGGAGGTAAAACCTCCACAAGCAGTCTTCTTCATGATGAGTATTGAGCACACAAAAAGCACGTGAAATGTTTACAGCTTTGTTTGCTTTTTACCTTCTGATGGATCCTGGGATTAACAATCATGCCATGTACCAAAGGTAAAAGTACAGTTGATCATAGGATGTGGGACTTGATAGTCTTCCCATATTTGCCCCAAACCCTAGCATTTCCAAATCAGAAATATCTGCAATTGGTTCTTTCAATATAGGATTATTTCCAGAACAGATATTGCTTAAATGGATCTCAGTAACAGAATTCACATTTTCCCCCTCAGTGTGATTTCTACCAATGGTCCCGCTTAACTAATACTAAAAAACAGAAAACAAATAGAAATCTGAAATGCCCCCATTATTATTCTGAAGAAATGGCACTGAAAGATTCTTTATGTTAAATCAGGAGATGAAGCTCACAGTTTTTCCAAAAATTTTAGGTGAGACTAGGAAGTACTTCATGTTTTTTACTACAAAAGCATTCTGACCTGATGAGTTCACAGTAGTAAGCTGTTCACCACCTTTCTTAAGAGATAGAGAGTAGCAAAGAGAGGAACATTTATAAGTAAGTGTAACAATACCACGCATTAAAATGTCAGGTTGAATCACCAAGTCTTTCTAATACCACATTCAAATCTACTCAATTCTTACTTTCTGTGCAAGGAAAAGAGATGAAACTTTCTACTACTTACCACAGTGAGGGACATTCTGCCTAAAATAAAAAAAAAGCAGCTAAATTTTTGTCTCCATATTTCAAAAACTCCCAGATATTAACTTCAGTGAGTTTGCTTAACTGTTGCATCCATATCCCATATTGGGATATCCTGTATCCCACGTTGTGTAGTTTAATGTGTGATCTAATAGCTAGGGTAAAATTGTTATGTGGAATTGAAATTTTTTGCAAGAATGGCAGGGTTTTAGAATGTATCTAGACTAATAAGTGTTAAATATATGCCATTTGCCAGATTCGAAAGCAGACTGTTTCACAAGTACTATTACAATTCGTACAGCATTTCAGAAGCTTTAGGCTAATAGCAATTCATACATGTAAATTACCAAGAATTGACAAGAATGCTAAGTTTTATTTTTGCTGCTTTACCAAAATCCTTTAGAGAGACTTACCACTACTTCACAGCTGAGATCTACAGGAGAACTAAGGGAAAGGTCATCTCAACCACAGGAGTTTTTCTCTAAATAACTCAAGCCAGATTATTAGTTTAGTTGAAAAAAATCATGCTACTCAAAAGGCTATCTGATTATTTACTCATGTTTCTCAGTTAATACACAAACAAGTATTATAAATCAAACCTGGATTTTGGAAGACTTCATGTCTCTATGACTGAAAGTCAAGTTTGGAAAACAAATTCCAGATCCTACCATCGTGTGATGTAGATTCTGATCTTTTCAAAGCACAGCCTAACTACTAATTATAGCAGGAACTCTCACACACAAATGCTTCATTATTTAATTACAAAGCAACAACCTGATTATGTCTCACAATGATTCAGAGCAATGTTAACCTATCTCAGAAACTGCAAGCTCAAACCACAGCAGGCTTCGGAATCAAGCTATTTGAAGTGTGTCAGGTCAGTAACATAATTTCATCTTAGGACCATTCTGCTTTAAAGTAGCTGCGTTGCATCTCTGGTGCTGGAAATTAGTTCCCTCTGGCAGCAGCAGGAAATATAAATTAAAACGTGTATGTTGTAAGTAAAAAGCAATGAGCAGTTATTGATCAGGAGTGACCTCCCTCCACATAGCTGCATGTTGGCTGGGAGAAACTCCACACACTGCAGAAGTGATGGTTTTTATCACTGAAGTTTATCAAGTATGGTGGCACTGCGGTATATATCCTACCAGCACTAGATGATGCATGGCTAAGAGTAGACATCAAGAGCAACTAAAAGAAAAAAAAAGAAAAAAAAAAGAAAGAAGAAATCATGAGCAATAAGAAAGTGGGTGAAACATTATGACTGGAGATCATAATCTGTCGTTTTTTAATTACTGAAGCAGAATTAACACAGGTGTGCAAGCAACACTGTGCAATATCGAAACTGCCCGCATACTGTGGGGTAGCCCTGATCAGTTCTGCTTGGCATGGAGGTTGAAGGTGGGCAGAATACAGCTGTGTGCATTTCAGAACTGGAAATAATTTTGTAAACCATCTTTTGTTGTTCCTCGTTTCCAATCAATTGCATGTGGGCAAGACGACATATCCCACTGTACAAATGTTAGCTGAGTATGCAAATGAGCAGCTGAGTATCCATGCCAGTAATTTTCTTCTGTACAGAGACTGGCTTATTTGGCAGCAATGAATGCCACAGGCAGAGAACTGTAAATGTCTGCATGTAGCTGCAGATACACAAAAAAATACTCTGTGCGTGACACTTTAGGTAAGAAATTCTGGGCCCCAGAGAAACAGAGTACAAGGGGAAGATTATGGACCAGGAGGGTGAAGATGGCTAAGTGTGAAGCCAATTAAGGTGTGGGAAGCCAGATGTGGATACCAGGCAGGAGCATTCAGCTATGGCCAGGTTGGACCATTGAAACTGCAAAGGCCTGAGCTACCAGCTATACTGAGGTAAGGGAACACGAATTATTACTTTGTGTCCACATCAAGAAAAACATACTTAGCCCCAGGCCTAAAAGACTGGTCCATCGTCACCCCAAAATACTAATCATGTGATCTAGTTACAATGTTTTAAAATATCTCTTCATTTGTTAAAAAGGACCAGCCATGATGTACACAGCTCCTAATATACCACCACTACAAACAAAAACTCCACATTTTAGATGGTAGGTCTGACTGGAAAGAGGAGAAGGTTGCATCTAGAAACTTGGTATACAGCTAGTGCAGCTCACACAGAGTTGATACTGAAGCTGCACTGATTGAGTCTCTCATAGTCACACAGAATTATACGGAGAACCATGATCACAGCACTCTGCATTTGCATTTATTTACTGCACTGATCTACTTCCAATACAGTAGTAACAGATCTACCAGTAGCACACTAAGCATAAATTTACATTTGTACAAGAAACGCCACATTAACAATGCTGTTCTGAAAGTCCGGTTGCAAAAGAAGATGTGGTATTAATCTACAAGTGCAGGACTCCACATACATATGCCTCACTGTGATGAGCTGCAATTTGTCATTTTTTTAACGAACTATAGGACAGTGGGTATTCAGTGTCTCTCCCCACGTGCCTAAGAGAAACTCCTTTAGCTGTATATCTATTCCATAACCCTAAAAGCACTAGGCCAAAACAAACCAAGCATTGTGTGTTTAAGAATACCAACTTCAAGAACTTAGAGGCTGATTCTAATGCATACAGGTTAATGAGAATTAAGGAAAGGAAATACAAGCCCCCAGTTATTCTGCAATAAGACTGGCTATGCTTTTATTCCCTTTGTTGAAGAGACTCAGGAAAACATTTCTATAAAAACATGTTAAAATGAGAAGCAAATGGCATTTAAAACAGCTTCACTTCCTACTTCGGGTAGGCCTGAGAGCAAGGGGAGCAAGCATGTAGGAAGGACAGTGCTTGAAGAAAGAAATAAAAGCACAGTAGCTGGCACTTCTCTGCAATAATATTATCAGCCTGCTGAGAGCAATTACAATAGCACAGACAGCACTTGCTTTATTGTGACCTTATTGAATTAAATCTGAGGAAAAAACTCTGAGATTCAGCAGGGAATTTATTAGAAAATTTTAATGCCAACTTAAATTTGATCCAAAGGCCTCAATACTAAAGGTCATATCCATTACTATACGGTGGGAAACCTTGAATCTCTCTGCTCCTATGTTCCACCCTTTCTCAGTTTTGTTTTCTTTTGTAAGAGCAGGTCAGATTCTCCTTCTCTCGGCTTCGCAGCACTCTGTGTTAGAGGTAGAAGACTGATATTTACATTTTTAAAAGCCTTAGCCAGCAAGTCAAATAAAGAACCCCAATCTTACCTTAAATGAAAAGTTGAAAATGAAAACCACAATCAAGCAGCACTGACAAAACTAATGTGCTATACAGCTGAATTTTACCACCTTATGTAGATATACAAAACATATAACCTGATCCTCACTGAATTATCTGCCACCGCTTGCAGATCAACTGCCATCATGACAGGGGAGTCAGTATGAACTCACTACGGACTTGCACAGAATGGCAAAAGCTGTGTAGTGTTTTTAAAAAAAACCAAATTCTTAACTCTAGATTATTGCAAACCGTTGAAATTGGAAGTACCATCACTGAAGTCTGATCAGCTGAGTTTCAAAGGCTCCTTGTTTGCATATCAGCAAACACAATGGTGGCAATGGTTACTGGGTATTTCTTCAAGCCCCATCATTCCCCCACCCAGAGCTTTCAGCTTTACAACAGGAGATGGACATGCTAAGCACCTGTGAAAAATATAAAGCACACTGTGTAGCTCATGAATTACTCCCTGAAGGAAGTATTCCCCACAGATTTGCAGGGTAGCTACATGAAGTTACCCTTAGCTGAAGATTGAGGAAAGAAACAGAAACATAGACGGCCTGTACTTTACCAGAAGATGAAAAGGACCACAAGTTCTACTTTTACACTGTACCCATTTTTTTCGGTATTCAGTATATGAAACTGTATTAAAAGGAAAAAGCTCATGTTCTCGAATGCTTATGTAATTTTGAAGCTTACACTCTAGTGACTTCCCGAGTACCTTGAGCTCTTAAGTGCCCATATTAGTCAGCATAAACATGTGAACACAAGTCCAGATCCTTGCTACCAATCTGCTCAGGTACCCTCTGAATAAAAGAGCCTTCCTCTCTTTTCAGTCTATGAGAATATACATTATGAATATTCATTACACTCCTTACTTTCTCAGTAGCCTCAGTATTCACTTGGTGTAGGATGTCTGAGGAAAGGAAGAAGGTTAAAAGACAATTTCCTGTACCAGGCTCACTTAAGTATCAAAATATATCCCACCTGATGACCTGGTAGCAGCAATTTCAGTCTTCCTCAAAAGTACTGGAAAACCTGGCAATTGAACTAGTTTAATCTATTGTTCGGGCTATGCTGGCATTAAATATATTTTTGGAAGACAGTGCATGAAAATCACCTTTTCTGAACTTAATACACACAAGATTTTACATTCTTCATGCTAATAGCCAAATTAAATTTAGTTTCATGTATGTCTCGGGTATCTTTGCAGGTTTGAAACCAAAAAGGCAAATACAATTTGAATGCCACTGAAAGGTTACCACTTCTTAAAGACTTGTGTTCACACATTCATGCACCGACCCAAGCTTACTTACCCTTTTAGACACTGATGCAAACGACCTCTAGCTCAGAACCCGTGCAGAAGTGTCTGGGCTGACATGCCATATCAGCTGCACCCCAGGATGCCTGCTTTTGAAACTAAATAATAACTTATTCACACAAGCACCCTACCACAAAGCCCTCTATGCACAATGTGAATATACTTAATGTGCCATGCTAAAGAAAGTGTCGATGGTTTTGTCTTCTGAATTGCTTTACCCTTCACAAACAGATTGATTACACATGCTTGCTTTAATGCGATTTGATTTGGTAGCCACTATAATTTTGTTCATTAGATAGTTGTGTCTTATCAGCTTTGTCTCATTTGAAAAAGGAGGGACAGGCTTAATTTATTACTTTTAACATTTGCAAGAAGTCAACAGAATGGCTGCTAGACTAAAACTGAAACATTTAATATTTTAATTTGTCTTTTCACATAAAAGCTAGACTTGATGTTAGACTACAGACATCTCAGTTTTGTATACTGACAACAAAATCTCTGGGTCTGATTTTTTTTTTTTTTTTTTAGGACCTGGGCAACACATGATTTTTTCCATTAGTAAGAAGAGGACAGGAATTACAGAAACAGAAATTTCAATTACAACACAGGGTAGGATGGCATGAGGCTTCATACTAGTGTTTAACTCACTTGTTTGCCAGCCATTTTTCTCTCATACAATTTCAAAGAAGTGAAATAAAAACTATCCATCTATTAACAATAGTTTTCAACTAACAGTATCTTATTTGAAATACAGAGAAATATAGTATTTTAGAATACTAAGCTGGAGTACTATGTGAGGATGGAGCCAGGATGGAGAACAAGAAAGACAAGAGGAATGGGAATGCGGACATGTCTGATCTTGAATTGCTCAAATGACAGGGAACTTTGCTACCTGCATCAAGATTTGGATGTTTAAATCAGTCCTTTTGTGTCCTAGGACTGAGACCCTCATGAATTTTTTACTCACCCCTTGATAAAGATGGTTCGTTATCATCAGGTATACAAATACTTGTTTCCTACTGTTCCGACTGATTAAAGAGGTTAGTCATATTCATTCTCCAGCTCTTTCAACTCCTCACCTGTTGTTCTTTCCCCAAATAAGCATTTATTTTTCTAATCTCATTTTCAATTTAAGCAAAGGGTGTATCTCTAACTCTATGTAAAATACCATTTAATTCTACAGTATTTCAGATAACTAATTTAGTCAACAGTTCCTTTCACAAGCAGCATTGTAAAATTAGGCCCTACACAGTAAGATATTAAAATAATTAAATTTATATCATGTTTGAGTTTAACAACATTAATAACTTTTATCTGAATTTTTATATGTATATGTATGTTTACTTGAAAAATTGCAGTTCACCTTTAGGATGTCAATTAAAAAGACAAGTAAAATTGCAAAAAACACAAATAGCTGCTTCCCTACTTCTCTCTTTTCCTATCCTGGTGTTCACACTGGCTCTCATTTAATTAGAAAATAACAGCATTAACTATTAAGTCTTTCTTCACTGCTCATTAGGCAGGGCTTTTAATTCTTATATTGTCTTCGGTGTGGCCCATAAAACATAGTAAGACTGACACAACCAATGCGGTCAGCATCCTGCCAGGTT